TTTTTAATCTTATTCAAAGAATAAGTTCAAATTTGTATTCACTTGTCATTCTCCCCATTCTTTAAACTTCTTTCGCTAATTAATTGTTATAATATTTCGAAGCACACATGCAAGTGGTTTCAGACAGTATTAATTTCAGGGCAGCTGGAGTCCTTTACAGAATTAAGAACACTTGTAATTAGTGAAAATCACTTGAACAAAATAGAAGATCGAGCTTTCCAAAATATGAATAAACTGAGGGTTTTGAACTTGGCTAATAATCAGTTGTCCAATTTAACAAAGTAATTCGAGAATTAATTTTTTAAAAATGAGCTTTAATTTTAAAGCTCTTTTTTTAACTGGCTTTGCTACTGTCCTACTTTATTTTTGATCCCATTTTGGCGCAAATGTTACAGTTTTTGATGGGCACCAGTTACGCTACTAATAACTTTTTATACTTTTTAGGGATACTTTCTATGGTCTTAGCAGCCTTGAAGAGTTGTATTTGCGAAATAACAATCTTGTTAGCCTCGATCCGAGAGTGTTCTCACATCTGGAAAATTTGAAAATTTTAGATTTAGGTTTGCTTATTTTATTTCACCTTGATGCCGATTTTTTAAACATGATATGCGAGATGGATTTTCTGGGCAGTTGGAACGTACTAACATTTTTAATGCTTTCTGTGCTTCAGGAAATAACCAGTTGAGTGGCGTGAAATTGTTTGGTCTAAAAAATTTGGAAAGATTGATCTTAATTAATAACAGCATCGGGTCTATGAAAGATGTTATTCTGGAAGATCTTTTTAACCTTCGAGTACTTAGTCTCAGTCGGAATATGATTACTCATATCAAAGACAACGATTTGGCCTCTCTGGGCGGCTGCAAGAGGTATGAAGAGGATAGTGGTTCTACCAAATTCTCTGATAATATGAAATGATGATGATTGTTGTTTACTCGCGTTCTTTTCTTTTTCTCTTTAGTCGTACCAGCTTATTACATATCTTTCCAGGCTTGATTCCTTGTCGTTGGTTTTCAATAGGTTAAAAAGCATTGAGCCAAGTGCGTTTGAACCAACGAGTGATTTAAAGGTTTTGTCGTTGCAAAATAATGAGCTCACTTCCTTGTCTTCGGAATTTGGCGAAGGTTTTTTTTTTTTTTTTCACTAAAACGTTTGATTTGTGGCAGGGTTGTTTCCTTCTATTTGGCCTCGTTGGACCCTTTCATGTTTCTGAAGGATTAGACAGTACTTTAGTATTTTCTTATTTTATATGCGTTTATTTCATTTCTTTTGTAGTATTTTCATTGACGGTTTCTAGGAAGTGTTTCTTTCTTACGCCATCTTTCAAAGCTCAAGCAACTCTATTTGAGCTATAACAGCTTAACTGAGATAAAAGACGGTGACTTTGAAAATCTGCATTCACTTAAAGTGCTCGAATTGGATGGCAACCAAATTATCAAAGTAACATTTGTTTTTTTTACAGAAATTCCATTTTTTTACTCATCCTGTTTTTTATATTGTCTTTTAGGTTGGCCGGGAAGCGCTGAGAAATCTGCCTCTGACCTACCTTTATATGGCTAACAATCGTTTAAGTTATCTGCCGAAGGGCGTATTTGATGACGCTGTTAGTAGCATTGAAGCAGTTGACTTATCAGGTTTGCAATTTATTGTTTTATTCTTACAATAGGAGCATACGAGATAAGTGTGCCTTTGCTTCTCTGATTTGTTGTTTTCGTTACATGGGGCTTGTTGGTGTGTTCTTTTGATATTTTTGCTGTAGTTTATTTTTCCTCTGTTTTGCATTTTGTTTCGAGTAGCTGGGAGTTTTTGCCTTCTGGACTTATGACAGTAGGCTTTATCTATATAAATGAATGATAAAATATTTTTTCGCTGAATTAGAGCATTATTTTTTTAATCTCAATATTGTCTTCGTGGAAAAATTCGTATTACATTATCAAACTCTTTCTGGATAACTCAGCAAATACTGAATCACTTTTTGAAAATATCTTCTAGAAACAACTAAATTTGTTCCCGAATTCTGCAGTTACCGTAATAATTTTCTTGTCTTTTCACTAGCTAGTGATTCGGATTTAACAATTTGATTTTCTTTTGTTGAACAAGAGACTTTTTGAACTTGGTGAACAGCTGTTTAGAGAGCGGTTTGAATATCGTGCGGGTTTTTGCATTTTTGTATTTTAACCATCTATTAACACTGCTATAACATTTTGTTTCGTTTTGTAAGCTTGTTCATTGTCGGAAAATTGAAGAAACGAAACTATCGCTGTTGAAATGATTCACCATATTAATTGATTAACAGGTAACCCCTGGCAGTGCACGTCTTCCGAAGAGGAATGGCTTCCTCAGTGGCTTGAGGAGATGGGAGAGCGCGTTCTACACCGTACATTTATGGGTTGCATGAGGCCGAAAGAAAACACCGAGGTTTATAGTCCCATTGTGGCCATATTGGCGAGCGTATTAGCAGTTATTTCGATCCTGATCCTCTTTGCTATTGCGTTTCTGTACTTTGAAGATGGTAGGTCCTTACTGTTGCACAGCGTAAACTTGTTTTATTCGATATTGTCTTGTTCTTAGATTCGTCTCAGATTTATAGTCCTTAATGGTCCTCATTATTTTTATATGTTTAGGAAGGCGTATGAAACGTGCTCCGTCAGATCTTTTAAATTTAATTTCGAATACCGACGAAATTAAACAACCACTATGCGATACTGAAAATCAAATAAAAGCCCCGGCCACTGGATCCGGGAAGAAACGGGTTAGATTTGATGGCGTTTAGTGTAAGCCTCAGGGAAATTTTCTTCGTTATACATTGTTTTTTTGTCATTTTTTGTTACCTAGATGTTAGTTGCTGGCGGAAAGAACGGTCTTAACATTTCGAGGATGTGAATTTTTATTCAGGAAGTAATCTCAGGGATTTGTTTTTGGAAGAAAAAAACAAACTGCAGAAGTAATAGATCGGACGGGTTTAGATATGGGGGTTAAATTTAAGGTTTTGGGGAACTGTTGATGAAACCTTTAATTTTTCATCATAAGGTTTTAGTTGTTGGGTAGAATTATTTTCCAGCTGTTCTAGTCAGTGTATTCTCTGTATATCAATCTGTTAACTTTTGCTAGTGACTTGCTAAGAGCACCCTCTATAATTGAATTGTAAAATTATCATTTTTCTAGAGGCACTAGTTTAGCCTTACTATTTCTGGTATCCTGTAATGTATTTAGTGCCTTTAATTAATACTTCTTGTGAAAGAATTCGTTAAATGATTAGCAATGTATATTTATACTTCCGTAGTAGCCAAGATATTGTCAAGCATATTGCAGAACCAATCTCTCAGAGCGCTTTATATTGCAAATTGCCTTTAATTTGGAGCTTTGTGGGTTTTTTAAAGGGAAGATTATAATTTGCTTTTTCGCAGACAAGTTCCGTG